GGCACCTGCTATTGATCTCTCCCATTATTGGTTATGTTACGTTTAATCTCTTGGTTAAGCTGATGCTCTTCAATTTAAAAGAAATGTAACGTCTGTAATAATGAATGCTTTATGGGTAGAATAATTCTTGGAGGCCATATAGGTATCATAGTCTCTATTCACCCAGTGATTTTAACATGTATTTATATCCTTATAAGAATCAATGATAGGAGCTCTGGTGGCCTAGTGGCAAGAAGCTGTGCTGCAATCCTGAAGGCACACGGTTCAAATCCACCAGATGCTTTGCTGGAGAAGGAGGGGCAATCTCCTCCTGTACCAGTCAGATTCAGTTTTACAGTACACACACACACACACACACACACACAAATAATAAAAATTTTAAAAAAAGAATGAGAATGTTTCTGGCTAATTGCAATATGATACAGTTAAAGCCACTTTGACTGAGAAAGCCTTCATCACCATACCCTCAAGAACAGGTGGCAGCCAGGTGGATGAAAGTGAAACTTGCAAACAACCCCTCAAGCATGCATTGTCCTTTAGAATGTCCAGTGTGTTTTCTTGTCATTGTAAGTAGGTGCACAAGAAACTTCTACCCTAGATCAAGACTTCTTTATTTTAGAATAGTGCCCTTTAAAAATAAACATTGGTGTAAGTTGAGGAAAAACAAATAGTCTTTTTTATTTTCTTCTAGACAGAATTTAGCATAAATAAGATACATTTTCATTTAACCACCACCATCTAACAAGATGCTTGATGTCTGCCTTCCCATTTGAAAATGCCTCAAAAGTGGGGTTTTTACAAAGGTATTATATTGAAATTGAATGGGCAGCAACATAACAGAAATCCTTTGAAAGGTGGAATAGTAAACAGATATTGTTTGGCAGGGGGGCCTCTTGATCTAGGCTAATCCCCTTTTGGGGAGTTTATCCTAAGGCTTTTGTACCTGCCCTGCTCATGACTGGCTCAGTCAGGGAGTGTTATCTGATGAAGATCGTATTTCACTTCTGAGAGCAAAGGGTTGTTCTGTTTGTTGGGGCTTTAAGGCTAGCAGGAAAAGATTAACTCCAGGACATGAAATATAAAACCCACCCATCCATCTTGAAACTTGAGATTGCCTTGCATGCCATGTAGGTTCTCCCACTTAAAATCCATATTGAAAATAACTTATTAGACTTTTGATGCATAAACTATCCCTCCTACCTAAACACCACTGTCTTCATTTTGGACCTCAGCGAACTCTCTCCAGGAATTCATGTGTGCCTTGTTTGTGAGATTTTAGAGGCTGTAAATTGCAAGGGAGGAGAATGTCCATCTTTCCCCCCACATTGCTTAGAGATAGTACCTGGTAATGAAAATAATTCCTGGAGACACTCGTAGTTATATCTAAGCCAGTGCCTTCCAGGGTCCATACCCAGTTCGCTCTTTTGGTGTGCAGTGAGTCCCTGTAGGTCCAGTCCCCGTCCCTTGCTTGAAGAACAAAGCAGCAGACCTTGTTATAGTTTAGCATGTGGCGTATAACCAGGAGGATACTGGAGTACTGGCTATTTTCAGAAGCTTTGTCTCAGAGTCTGTTGCTTGAAACATTGAGGTAGGTTCATGCTTGTCAAACAGATTTTTATAAAACCAGAAAATAAGCAAAAATATGTGGGAAATCGTACTATGTAGTAGGTCCTGTAGTGCTCCTGTGTAGGGAAGATTTGAATAAAAGATGATTGTTGAAATCTTGGATGTCCTTGGATCAAGGCATCTAGGGAGATCCTCACAAGACGTAATAACAGCAGAACTGCATTCGTGAGCGACATCAAGTGCTTGCATTGTCTTATCTCACAACAAGCCTATCAGATGTGAATTATTGTCTTTCCCATCTTATGGATAAGGACATATAGGTTTCTAGAGATCAAAGAACATTCTCAAGCTTCACTTTATAGCCAAGAAGCACATGCTAGTTAGACTCTGGTTGTCCCCCACTCTCAGATCATCAAAGCTGTAGCCCAGATGAACTCTCACAACATTAATTGAAATGAACTTGCCTAAGTGACTCACCACCAATTAAGCCTCAGAAGTTCACTTAATTCGAGAAGTTCAATCAAAAGTAAATTGCTACATTGGGAATCTAATGGGTTATATTGCCGCCTTCTGATAAGTAAAGTTTTAAGTGAATCCAAAAAAGAAGTTAACATATGAGAGGGAAATTGTCAAGACTATTTTGAGAGGAAAGAGACCCTGAATAAACAAAGCATTTCTAAAAAACAAAAACGAAGTGGGAAACCTAGCACTCCCTGACCTCAAAACCTACTACACAGTGGTAGTAACCAAAACACCATGGTACTGGTACAATGATAGGAACACAGACTAATGGAACAAAACTGAGAACCCAGAAATGGACCCAGCTATCTCTGGTCAACTGAAATTTGATAAGAAAATAAAACCTATCAAATGGGGACATGACAACTGGACTGCTACCTGCAGAAAGCTGAAACAGGATTCATATCTCGCACCATACACAAAAATCAACTCAAGGTAGGTCAGAGAACTGGGAGTACAGCCCAAAACTATCAGAGTCAGACTGGGATCAAGCTTAGACGGCCTGCTCTATGGTTTAAAGAGACTGACAGATACAGCCAGAAACGTACAGGATAAAAAATCCTGGAGAGGATAAAAATTGATGAATGGGACCTTATAAAATTAAATCCCTGTGTACATAAAAATTTTTTTTTTCAACAGGGTGAAAAGAAAACCTGACTGGGAAAAAAAATTTGGCAGTACCATTTCAGACCAGGGTCTCATCAGCAGTTTACAGTATCCTACAGGGCCTCCATACAAAAAAGACTAGAGGAAAAGAAAAAGACAAGTTGAAAAATGGGCAAAAAACAAAGGAAAAATTTTCTTAGAGCAAGATATTCGGATGGCTGACAGACACATGAAGAAATGCTCAAAATCGCTAGCAATAAGAGAGGTGCAAATCAAAACCACAATGAGATAACCATTTTACTCCAGTAGCAGTGGCAAAGTTTAACAGAACAGCAAGTAATAAATGTTGGAGAGGATGTGGCAAGATAAGAACTCTTATTCATTGTTGGTGGGATTGTAAAATGGTATAACCACTATGGAAGGCAGTTTGACCCTTCCTCAGAAAGTTGAATATAGAAATTCCGTATGACCCAACTATTCCACTGCTTGGAGTATAATCCGAGAAAACAAGAACTGAGGGACAAATACAGACTAATACACCAATGCTTATAGCAGCATTATTCACCATTGCAAGAACATGGAAACAGCCCAGATGTCCAACCACAATCAAATAGATTAAGAAATTATGCTACATTCACAAGATGAAATGTTATGCAGCACATGGGAGCAATAATTTTGTAAATCATTACCTCACTTGGGAGGGACTGGAGAGCATTATGCTAAGTGAAAGAACTCAGTCCCATAAAGATAAATACTGTATAAGACCATTATTGTAGAAATTGGTAAGAGGGGGAGGATGGTTGGGGGCGGGGATAGTTAATCATAGGATAGTACAATTTGATGGATGGAGGGAGGGGTGGATAAAGGAAAGGGGAAAGATCCTGTGTGAAAAACAATGTATATTAACTTTGTAAGTTGTTATGTACCATCAAGTCGCCTGAGACTCATAGAAACCCAATGCACAATACCCCTAATTCGTTCTCTATCTTGTGCCAATCTTATTGTCTCTGATACACCTATCCCCATTACCCCAGTCACTGAATCAATCCATCTCATCCAGGGTCTTCCTCTCTTACGTTGTCCCTCCAACCTCGCAAGCATGTGTCCCTCTCTAAGGACTGATCCTACCTTGCAGCATGTCCAGAGTATATCAGATGAAGCTTCAGAATCCTTGCCTCTGAGGAGGACAAACTTGTTCTCTTAGCAGTCCATGATTATTCAATACCCTTCTCCAGCACCACAGCTCAAAGGCATCAACTCTCCTTCTATCATCCCTAGTCATTGCCCAGCTTTCTGATGCATAACCAGTAATTGCAAAGCCTATGGCCTGTATCAGGTGCACCTTAGTCTCCAGATTGACATCATTGCTCTTCAGTACTCTGGAGAGGTCTCTGACAGCAGACTTTCCTAATACAGTTAGTCTTTTGATTTCCTGGCTGCTGGTACCAAGAGTGTTGATTGTGGAGTAAAAAAATGAAAGCTGTCAACAATCTCCCATCTCTTTACCATCTACCCTCAAAATAAAGGTGATATAACAAGTGCAGAAATTTTCGAACAATATCATTGATGTCACATGCAAGGAAGATTGTGCTGAAGATTATCCAAAAAGGACTGGAACAGCACATCCACTGAGAACTGCCTGAAATGCAGGTTGGGTATAGAAGAGGGTGGTACTAGAGATATTATAGCTAATGTCAAATGGATCTTGACTGGAAGCAGAGAGTACCAGAGGAATGTCTGTCTGTGTTTCATTGACTATGTAAAGACATTTGACTGTGTAGATCACAATAAATTGTGGCTGACTCTGAAAAGAATAAGAATCCCAGAACACTATTGTGTTTATGCGAAACCTATTCTTGGACCAGGAGGCAGTCAACAGAACAGAACAAGGAAATACTTCATGGTTCAAAATTGGGAAGGGTGTACACCAGGGATGTGTCTTTTCAATCTATATGTGGAATAGATTATCTCGGAGGCTGGGCTCTATAAGGAGAAGTGTGGCATCATGTTTGGAGGGAGACTCATCAACAATTATGCAGATGACACAACCTGCTTGCTGAAACTGTTAGTAAACCAATATAAAATTAAAATATGATGTAAGAGGGGTAATGGAAGAAAACACACAAAAGATGAAAGATAAGAAAAATATGAAGTAGAATAATGCTTTCTAAAATTTCATGAGGATTACATTACAACCTTCTAAGCAATATGTATACTTTCTTTCAGTCTCTTTTAAGATGAGGAAGACATTGTCAACAAGAATATTTTATTAAAAAAAAATAAAACCAAAAAACTGGGCCAGTAAAAAGTTAAACAATCTCGTCACATGAATCTTCTGAAATGGGAGATTCCTGAGGCTGGATTCTCTTATATCTTTGAAGGAGTCTTCTCTTCAGGGTCACCCACCAGGGGCTCTTGGTGATCTTCTCAGGGCGCTTTTCCCTCACTAGTGAGGGGACCACTTGCTGCCTCAGCTTCTGGAAGGTATCTCCAAAGTTTAGAAAGGATGCGGTTTGTGTGTCTGAAGGACTGTCTTCCTCCTCTGCCTGAGATGATGCATTTGAGGCTTCTATTGTGCTTGTCTCTAAGTGACCAATTGGCTGGTTTATCTGCCAAGAAAATGAATGGCGAGTTAGAGACACATAACCTGAACAACCAAGGAATCAATAGTTACTCATTTATAGAACTTACATCCTTTCACTAAAAGTAGGCTGCTCTAAATGTGAAGTTTAAGTATTAATTAATACTTTTTAAAATATACATCTTAATTCTTTTTGAAGGAAGGGAGTCATAGCTGGGGACTTCTTGGTTATAATTGTTAGTCTCACTGCTTTACTCTCCTCTTTGCTTGCTCACTGGCCCACGACTTTCCCTTCACCTTCACCTCCACCCCAAGTCCTTTGCTTGCTGTTGTCTTTCCACTACTCTTAGTCTTATCAGAGACCACAGAGCCTGGGTCTCTGCAGGTAATAGTGCTTCATGCTTTCCAGCCAGGCCCCCACATGGCCCATCCTTGCTCTCTTCTGAGGGATCTCTGACTGCTTACCTCTCTGAGTTCATGTTCCTGATGCCTTAGAGGAATCTGTGGAACCTTGATGACGTCTTCATTTTTTGGTGGTTTGAAGTTGGCTGTGTCTTGACAAGGACTTTGTTTCTGATGACCTACCTGAGCCGTATGTTCCGAAGGGGAGCTGGAGTCATTAGATAGCTGGAAGTCTTCATCCTGAGAAGAGTCGTTGAAAACAGAGGTACCATCTTCATTGTCTCTCTGATGTTCTACAAATTCCTCAAGCTTTTTCACAAGATCCTCCAGTTTACTGAGAGTCAGTTCGGTCATCTTGTCTGGATTTCTGTTGATACACTGGTTGGTTCCATTTAGATCCCAGGCAGCTGTTGAGTCTGAGTTGTTAGAGGTCACGTCGACATCCCATGCAATGGCCACCCTTAGTTTGGAAAACTTCCGCATGATGTCCTCACTTTGGTTGTGTCGCCTCCTGAGTCTCAGTGTGCCAGCAACCTTCCACATCCCTTGGACTGGAGGGAGGAAGTGGAGGGAAGGAATCTGAGAGGCTATTTCTTCATCAGAGGTTGTGTTCTCATAGAAAAAGATGTCATGGCTGGGGAAGTAGCCCACAGAGACACTCAGGTTAGATTGTGAGCAGCTGTCCTCTGTGTCAGGACTGTCACTGTTGAAGTAGGAGCAATATGCCATTGTAATCCAAGGGCCCAGATTCTTCCCGCCTAGCACTCTTTTATCTGAGGAAGTTTCAAAAAGGAGAAAAATACCTAATTTAGAAGAGAAGAGGCGAGCCATATTACTTAAGCAATAGCATTCGTTCTATTTTCTTTTTGGATAGTGCCGTCTCACCTCTTTATGCAGTTTTCAATGAAGGCCCTGACGAAGTAGCTTTCTCCTTTAAAAACCCTGCTTCACTGGGTGACTCTTACCTGGTGGAGAATCCTATTCATGAAGCATGTTCATTTGATGCTTCTCATCCTTCCTTCCTGCAGGTGAAAGAACCGTTGTTATTTCTTCTGTCGTAAAATAATCATTGTAAGAATATTTAAAATACAGAAAAATATAAATGGGAAAATAAATATACTAGGACTTCACCATGCAGAAATAATGATAATTACTGCTAAAACATTCTGATGGCTGTCCTGATATTTTCTTTTCATTTATACACACACACAGACACACCCACACAGATGTTTGTGTTCTACTAATTTAAATTGACATTTTTACTGTGTCACAGACACATAATACATCTAAGTCTGGCTATTCTGTAATTTCCAACCACTTTCTTACTAATGACCATTCCCTTGTTTTAATAAGTAACTAACAGTAAATCTCCTTGTCCTCCTTGTAAACCTCCTTGTCCATGAACCAGTGTCTCCTTTTATTCTATAAATGAGATTAATAGATCAAAGATTAAAGGCCCCTGATAATTGATACCAAATTGCTTCCCAGAAAGATTTCTAGCTCTTGAGATGCTCTCCTCCCACTCTGTGATGGTATTTTTTTTTTTTTGTGATGGTATTTTTTAAACTCTGGCCTTTTCCCTGATGTCCCGGCGAGTGGGGTGGGAGAGCGAGCACACGCACACACACACTCACAGACGTTTGTGAGTCTGACGTGCCCTCCTCAGGAAGCTGCCCGCCTCAGAGCCCAGCCAAGTCTCGATGCGACAAGACCAACTGTCAGAAGTCTGTGTTCTGCAACAGTTGGTTACCATAGCAACACCTAGCACCAAGTTATAGAGAGAAATGGGGACAAAACGAGCAAAAGGGAGTAGGAAAAGCCCCAGGACCCCATTTACTCCTGATTAATTTGTGATTACTGTCCAGGCCTTACGATGGTCCTTGGAGGCAGAAGGATACGTGCAATGGTAATGACTTTCTTTTTGTTGTGTGAACGTTTAGTGTGGTTCCTGTCTGTTAGGGCCTATGTCGAGAGATGAACTTCAGCTATCTATTACAAAATAGGATGCTAAATATAAGAACGTCTAACTCATGGCCGTCGAGTCGGAACCAGTTCATGGTTGAAACCTCCAATGAGTTTTCCGAGGTTACAAATCCCAAGAGAGGAGATTGCCCATCTTTCTCCCACAGAGTGGCTGGTGGATTCGAACCACATGCTTTTGGACTGGCAGCAGAACTCCTTACTGCATAGGACACTAAAGTTCCCTAAGTATAATAAACACACTTATAATTCCATAGTGTTCCCCAAAAGGGGGTTCCGGATGATGCATCCAGGGTTTGAGATAGGGTATCGAGGAAGACCACCTGGAGGGACTCACTTCTCACCTTCTCTGTGGAGGACTAGACATAAGATAGAAGTGAGGAAGATGGGGTCTCTCAGACAGAGGAAGGAAGTCATGAACAAGGACAGCCAGATGAGAAGCAGCCAGGTGTGTGGGGACGTCAAGCATGAGCAACCGGTGGTTTATGATGAGGTAAATGGCTCAGTGAGGTCTTAGAAGACCTTCTTCCACTGCTTCCAACCCACCATTGTAGGCAATTCAGATTTATTAACCTCCATCCGTTTCCTCTTTACAGGAGGCAGATGCCCAAGGAACAGCTGTTGTATTTGAGCTGCTAACCTTTCAGTTAGGAGCCTGATATGTTATACATCATGCCAACCCTGTTTAGAAACTTGAATTTTACCCTGTAAGCCAGAGTAACAGTGTGAAGACACTCCGTGTACTTCTGTTTAGAAATTTGAATTTTACCCTGTAAGCCAGAGTAACAGTGTGAAGACACTCCGTGTACTTCGATAATGGCATTAATTTTTTAGACATTTTTCTGGACAATTCAGAATGTACTGAAATATTATTAGTGGCTTCACATCTAAAATATGAAAAATCACACCTAATTTTTAAAAAGCTTTCAGAGGGCTTGCTTAAAAAGAATGCAGTCATACATGCTCTTGTTTAAAAGTAAAAGGGTAGGATACTAAGAATGAGCCACATTATTTAGAGCAAATAACTGTGATCTAGGAGAATCCATCAAACGGCATCCTAAGTAAGAGAGTGATATTATGAATAAAGAACAAGAACTTACTGATCTGCCATTAGAAATGTAAAGTTATCTTTTCGAATCAACCATACTTTCTTCAACATAGTATCCTAAGAATGATGAATGTAAGACTATTACATGTTGTTAGGGAGCTCTGGTGGCTTAGTGGCAAAAAGCTGTACTACAATCCCAGAGGTACATGGTTCAAATCCACCAGATGCTCTGCTGGAGAAGGAGGGGCAATCTCCTGTACCAGTCAGATCCAGTTTGACAGTACACACACCCACCCACCCACACACACACACACACACACACACACATGAATATTGCATGTTGAAAGAAAAATTCTTGCTTCAGTAGTACTTGGGGGAGAGGGCAGCTGAAATATATTGATATAAATCAAAGAACAAGTTTAATCAAATGCATACAAGTATAGAAAACACTGTCATAAATATATTATTAAGTGCCATTGAGTCATGTTCAGCTAACTCAAAGTGACCTCATGAACAATAGATCTAAATTCTATCATATCCTGTGTCATCTTCATCATCCCCAACACATTTGAGTTCATTACCACAGATACTGTGTCAGTGCATCTCATTGAGGGTCGTTGTCTCCCTTGCTGACCCTCCACTTTTCCAAGAGTCATTAACTTTGCTTCCAAGGAACATTCTAGTTGCACTTTCTCCAATACTTATCTGTATATTCTTTTCGCAGCCCATGGAGTATTTACCACTCTTCTCCAACACCACAACTCAAATGCATTGATTCTTCTTCTGTCACTTTTTTAAAAAAAATTACTTTATTAATTTTAATGTACATTTACAGAGATTTTGGATTTCCATTCATT